AGTGCGGCGGGGGGGGGAGAACAGCTGGCACCACAGAGACGGTGCTGGGGGAAAGAGATGGTGCTCCCCCCAGCACCTGCTCCTGTTTCTCTCCAACTTTGCTCCTCTGATACACAGGCAGCAAGGGGGGGACGGGGGGGACGGAGAGGTAATCAAGTAGTCAACTCAGCTACCTGATGAGTAGACAGCTACCCAATAAGCCTAAGCTTAACTACTCACTTATAACCCTACCCCAAACTCCCCATCTCCACCTCATCCCACTGTCCTCCTACCCTCTGCCTATTTCTCTCAATATACCCCCCACCCCTCACTTTATTCCACTACCTCTGCAGGATCCAGGAGACACCTCATTAATGGAACCCCACCAGCGTGGCTCTACTCATTAGGTGTGTGGCCCTTCAGACCCTCATGTGCAGCTGCCCAGGCAGACACTTTAGAGGGAACAAAGGCAGCACTTAGGGAACAGCGGAAGCAGTAGAACAATCCAGCAAAGGAAGGGCTGCCTGAAAAAGCAGCTACCACAGCACAGCCCATGCAGGGTTTCAGAGCAGCTCCCACCAGCAGGAGGCATCAGCAGCAGCTAACCCAGCAACCCAACGGGCTTCTGTTTCTGCCCCCACAGAGCAGCACTGATCTCAGCAGCAGCTTGCCATGAACTCACCAGAAGGCCCTGTGCTCCCTTCATTCATCAACCCACTTTAGCGACTGACACAACAGAAGCACCATTCTGCTGGCGGGCCAGAGGGATTTCTAAGGAAAGGGAAAAAAAGATGAGGAATAAATGGGCAGTGGCAGAATGGAGAGGGACAAATAGAGGAATCCCCCCCTAGGGCCACTTTCATAGTCTTGTGGTCTTATATCTGCCTCCACTATCTCCCAGTTTTCTGATACCATGAGCAACTTGCTGTCCTCCCTCTGACAAGTCTTCTCTAAAATCTCTGAGAGCTGCAGAGATCTCCTCAGCTCCTGAAAGCTGGTCTCTGCAACCAGATCTGCCCCATATCCTGAGGGTGGAGACCTCCTGCTTGAACTCCTTTAGCACAACCTCCATCCTGTGGCACAGGGGCTGGAGGTTCCTTTGGATGGTGTCACCAAGACCTGCCTCTGGGACACCCAAGTCAGTGACCTTCTGGACTATGGCTGGAGCCCAGGGTGGACCCCAGTGTGCTTGCCCAGGATATAGCACTCCCAACTCAACCACGTCTTCCATAGTGTGCTCCGAGAGGTAAAGGCTGCCCTGTCCCCTGCCTCTATGGCTGTTCTCAGGCAGTGTTTTCCACCTGCCTGTATCACCAGGCTCGCTAGAGCTTGATGTCAGGTCCCTGCCACATCAGCTCCCACCCATTGCTCTGAACCTCCCATTTCAGATAACTCTGAGAATTTCTGTCTCACCCCCAGAGAAGCTCTGCACACTCACACTGCCCCCAGTCATTCCCCTGGGCCAGTGTTCTACCCAGATACACATAGGCTGAATATGCTGCCTCCTCTTAAAGAGAGGCCAGCCTGTGTTCCGCCATCATTCCATGGCCCAGCAGGGATT